TATTTTGCGTTTATAATGACTTCATTATAACACGCCATTTAAATGTTTTGTGTGCTTTAATGAGGTTCATTATAGTACGCAAAATTTTGATTTCGAAGCTTGGCATCTAGATAAATTGTCAGTGACAATGACAACCTCAATTTGTTCAAGCGAATTTGATTAAAATAAAAGAACAATAGAATTTGTATATTTCTAAGATGATTTATTTCACATAATTATAACTTAACTTACGTTTACGTTTCAAAACTTTGGTATTTCCAAAGCTTCACTATTACCAAGTCTTGGTACCAGCGAGTCTTGTCTTGTTGACATGTACTCTTAAAATACAATTATAAAGTACTGAGTACTGTACTTGCAGTACTGTACTTAAAGTACTTTGAAATTTGTATAGTACTTGGTACTTTGTACTTCTTCAGGAATTATACAAAGTACTTTGTACTCGGTACTTAAGTACATTTTACTTGTACTTGGCCCAGCTCTGTAGCCTACAAAGTCATAATCCAATGTAATAGTTGACAAATAAACATCCATTGCTTTTGTATTAAGACCTCTTACATTTTGAAAATATATGTTATAGTTGGAGTAAATATTTCTGTTGGGCAGAGTTAGTTTAAAGATAATATTTGGGGAATACCTCATACATATTTTATTTTCAAGTTATTTTCGCCATTTCCTATATGCTTATTAAGTTTAGATTTAATTGTTTTATAATATTAAATTTGACGTGGTGTTTTGTCTGATGATTTGATAACTTCTGAAAAGTTATCTATATCTTTAACGCTTTTGGATTGTCTAGGAATATTATTAACCATGTCCTCTGCATTAAGATGAATTTTAATTGGCTTGGTAAGTTCTTAGTGAAATCAAATTTTCCAAGTACCTACCACCGGAATAATAAACTCAAAATTAACATTTGGTGTTAAAAATTTAAGTATACTCACTATAATATAATACTATTTTTATCCAAATTTCACTGCTGTTATCAACTACCTTTTCCGAAATGTTATAAAATATAAGATTAAGTTTTCTTTACTTCCTATCAGCTACTTCCTGAACAACTTCCTCAAATTCCAAGTCAGTCAGTTGGTTGTTCGATGAGTTTTCAACGGTTTTTTGCAGGGATCCTACTTGTGTTGTTAATTGATCTATTGTAGCTTTTAAACCATTTACTACTTCCAATAACTGGGCGGAAGTTGCAGCATTTTTTGGTAGCATATTTTAGTAAGTAGCTTAAGTTTGGCAACGCCGCCCGTTATAAGCAAAACAACAAATTGTTATTTGAGGTTATTTTGAAGTCACCAACTATAAAATTCTGAACTTTACACAACTCTACAGATAGACTCAGTTCCATAAACACTTCTTAAGTCACTTATACTTGTTTAAAACAATTTAAATTATCAAAATACTATACTTTTTAATTACTCAACTAGCTAAATATTTACACTGTTGCCACTTATATTATTTATATGTAAATGTTAGATAAGTATGGATCTTAAAAAACTCATTATGGCGACTTTAAAGTTTTATTTTTCACTTTAAGCTTATTTTTCCTTGTTCAGAGTTATTAAAACGGAAAACTACTACCTTAAATACTATTTAACTTTGAAGTGACTAATATTACTTTACATATATTATTGATGGTAATTTTTTCGTTTTAAAAACTTATTTTAAAACTCTATAAGTAACATTTTTATCATAAAGTAAAAGTTTGCACTATAAAGTAAAATTTATTACTATAAAGTCCCATAAGTTACCTAAAAATTTGAGGTTATGTTAGGATTCCCGCCAGTCAGTTGTTTTGGGTCAGTGTGCAAAGATTTGTTTTTCTTTCTCTTCAAAAGAATTCTTTTGTGCTAAGTGCTTGCTTCATTTACCTAATAATGTTGTGACCAAATAAAGAAAAGGTTCCCCACTTATGAGTTTATGAAGAAAATAAAGAACATTTGTTAAACTGGCCGAATTGTTCTAATAGCTAACGGAAGATTCTACGAGCTGATGTAAATTCAATACCAACAACTGAGTGGTCAAAATTTCCATGCCAAGTAAAATGCAGCAATATAAAAACATTTGAAGGGGCTCTTAAAATATAAAAAGTTCCTGTAATGATACCGAAGAAGAGGAAGAGTAAGTATTCTTTTTGTTATTATTATAATGTATGTTAATTAATATTAAGATTACCTATACCTACTACTCAATAATTATACAACCTACTTAAGTTATAAAATTAAGGCCCAGTTTCATAATCATCTTAAACGCTCCTTTATTTTAAAGCGACATATGAATGTGTCCGACTACTTTGCAATATGTCAGTCATTTATTGGCCACTTTAAAATAAAGGAGCCTTTAAACTGATTATGAAACTGGGCCTAAGTATCATTAGTTAATACCTAATTTAAGTTTACTAACTGTATTAAACACCAGCAATACTTAAACAAAATTAATTGCTCTTAATGTCTTCTTGGATTAAGTCAAATTTATACATGCTTTATTTATGGGTGCCATAATCTATAAAAAAAACCGGAAATTTTGTTTATATTTACCTTAAATTTGACATTACTTATTATTGTCGATTGTGTCATTTTTGTAATTAAGGTATATTTAAAGAAAATGTCCTTTTTTTGACAGAATATGGCTTTTATTTGCTTATAAGTTTATACCAAAGACTGATGGACTGAACAAAATTGACCACACTCTAGAAAGAGATAAAGCGATATCGGTGCCAATACCTGTCTCTCTTTTTTTCTGATTGGACGACATGTCACCTATAGCTTTCATCCGCCTGTGACGTGAGCCAATCAGAATTCTAAAAAGAGAAAACTGCTGGCACCGATATTGCTTTATCTCTCTCACACTTGTGTGCCAATATTTACTTGACAGCTGAATAGGAAACGCTCAGTCCATCACTTTACGCCTCTGGTTTATACAAATAACAATAATTATTGGTATAGGGAAACATATTTTTTCTTCAAATGCTAATATTTGCAGCCAATCTAAGATTTTGCCTATTTTTTTTAGAACAATACAACAAGTTATATTAACACAAGAAGTAAATCACTTAATTGAGAAATTATTCTATGTACAAGGTACCACATAATGATGAAAAAGGTATGTTATTATGAGAATGATGTTTCTAATGTGGATAATATTTCTAATGTGGATGATGTTTCCAATGGGAAAAATAAACTCTTTTTTTTTTAAAACGAAGTTTTTAAATTAAATAAAGAAATTGTAAATTTAAAGAAAACTATTGACGAAAATCAAACTAAAAACACAATTTTTACACAATTATTAATGAATCAAAATGTTAAGAAGGTAGAGGAGGACTTAGTGGAAATAATGTGCTTGAGAAAATTTAATAATGATATCATAAACAATAAAGATTTTAAAAACACCGTTAAATGGTAAGAATTGGAGGAACTTCAGGCAATGCTGATGGTTTAAAACTTCTATATAAACTAGTAGATAACATTTTCCCCAGATATTCTTACAGTTTTTTCGTGGACCGGAATAATAATCACAGATCAAGGTTGATTGACACCTCGAAGTAGTAACACTAACAGTGTGTCAATAGTGACACTGCTTTACCGATCGGTAAGGCTGGTTGCGTTGCAAGCCTGGCGCCATCTACTGTGAATAGCGGTCACCACACTTAATTAAATTTAATTGTATGTATGTAAGATTTTTGTTTGGAATCAATTTTTCAAGTGAAGAGTATGTATATGAGAAGGTATGTCTGTTGGTGGTTAATTTATATTAAATCTTTGAAACGCCCTAATCTGCTCTTAAGTTGAATAAATTGGAATATTTTTATTTTTTTTAGTTTTTTGAAAAAACCGTTGGGTAAGGGTTAACTTTTTTGGAAAATAAAAAAAAATAAGGTGGGAAAAAACACTTGTATGTTATTAACCAAATTTTGTAATGTTATGAGTAATTGTTAACATACTTTTAATTTAATTTAAAACTAGACATTTGCCCTAAAAAATACATAAACATTAAAAATTTGGTAAAAATCTGTAAGACCTTATACTAATTTGGTGCCTTTTTCTAGATGAGTTTTACTTAGTATGTAGTTTCTAATAATTTGGAAAGAATTGAAGTATAATGCAAAGCAAAATAGTAAAAAAATGTAAACGTTTGTTTTACTACCTACTTTAGGGGAACAAATTTTTGTCATTATTTTTTTTTGGGAATTGCTGCAGGAGTCAGGGGAGCAACTGTACCCCTTATGGGCGCCCATGGCTTTAATTATCTTTTAATTAGAATAACTATGTTTACGTTGTCTTATTTTTGTGGATCATGGGTCACTGTCAACATTTAAAGCTTTTATGGTAAATATTTACATGAGCTCTTCCTAAAGAATTTCGATAAAACGTTTTAAAACTATTCCGAATCAAAATTAGTTAAAGTTTTTCGGCCGAAACCTGTCCTTAAAAAACATGAAAAGATTACAAATTGTACAGCATTCTTTCACTTTCTATTCATATTATTTTATAAGCTTAAGTATACCCGCAATTAAAGAGAAGGGAAAAAATATTAAATATAAGTAATTTATTTATAAGCCCTATTATTTGGAAATATTAGATCAGTCAAATATAGCAGCTACCATCAAAGTACTTTGCTGTTAATAATTCTTAAAAAAAAAACATTAAGTTTAAAATTAAGTAAATTATTTAATTAAAATTAAAAATAATAAGAATAACCTAATTAAAGAAAACAATTAAATAAATATACTTAACTACTGCAAAATTAGTATTATTTATCCGTATACTTGAATATTTAGTCCTAATTTTGATTTGTTTAATAACTTGAAAAGTTAAATGAGAAAGGTTCTTTTTAGAATGTTTATCTATTTATTTTAGTATATTACATAAAAATAAGACCCATGAAATCCCGCGTGTATTGTCACTTGCATTATCAATAGTAGTCAATAGTAATTACTAATAAGTGTAATAAAAAGTGTGGACCAATTTGTATTTATTTTCTTACGTTAATTTAGAAACATGGATGAAGATATAAAACGTATGGTGGACAACGTTTTACAATGTCCAGCTCTACGTAATTGTATAGAAAGTAGAAATAATAATCGGGCTCCGTCAACAACCCCTGCAAGCGCTACATCATTGAATTGTCCTCAAAATGTAGCAGGGGGTAGTGTAAGCGCTATAGATGAAGTACGCTGCTCGTTTCCATCTATTAGACCTTCAACTTAATCGGTTAGACTGCTGTTAAATTTTAAAAATACTGGAATCATTTAGAGGTGCAAAGGAAAATTCAGGAGTTATTCCAAGCTAAACTACAAGGCGAATTCGAATTTTTGGTGCCAATAATTGGTTATCTAGTAAAAAATAAATTACATGATAGGGACGAAATGAATGGAGAAAATTTGGGCAAGGTTTTCTATAATAAAGTAATCTACATTCGACCACTGCATATTTTGGCCATTGACGATGAAAATGAATTAATAAATAAAGTAGAACAATCCGATCAAGAATTAGCAAATGAAACATCAGCGTCAAAGGTAACGGATTCTTGTTTTATAGAAGACATTTGGACAGAAACTGTCGGTTTAACAAAATTAAACAATATTCATAAAAATAATTCTAATTTTTTTGAACCTAAATCTTTACAAAAAATTTTAAATAAACTAGCACAGAATATCAACGATGAGAAATTTACACAGTTTAATATATATCGCGACGATATATTCAATTGCTGTGTACGCGCAATCGAAAATCTTTCTCACCAAATCATACGTTAAGTGTACTTTTTACCGATTGTGAAAATACTTCTGAAGGTGTTGTAGATGCTGGTGGACCTAAACACGAAATGTTTCGCTTACTATTTTCTCTTTTGTCCACGATTTTTTTTCAGAAACATTTTACACCCTGTTAATAGACGGCCCTGATCAAATTAAACCTGATTAACAGAACGTTATTGATTCCAAAATACGAAATGAAATACTGGCTACGGATGCTTCTGATTTAAAAACTTTACAAAATGTTGTCCTGGAAGGCACCTTTATTCGATTAGCAGGCTGGGAAATACTATGTAAATTTTTAAATATATTATTTCTAGATGTTATTCGATTTTATGTGGTGGATAGATGCTTGGCAAGTATTACTCAATTTAAGAATGGTCTTGACATTTTAGACGTCTATGCAAATACAACAGGGGTCCAATAAAAGAAACACTGAAAGCCGAATTGTTGCCTTTTCGGAAGACTATCTTTTGGAATGTGATGGTAATTTGCCTGCCAATTATTGTTCGAATTTTAATTTTTTTAATTTGCAGAAAATGAAGATGAATATGTTGTCCTGGAAGGCACCTTTATTCGATTAGCAGGCTGGGAAATACTATGTACTACCTATGTAAATTTTTAAATATCTTATTTCTAGATGTTATTCGATTTTATGTGGTGGATAGATGCTTGGCAAGTATTACTCAATTTAAGAATGGTCTTGACATTTTAGACGTCTATGCAAATACAAAGAAATACCCAGAATATTTTATAGAGTTAATGTGTAACACCAAGGAGGGCATTCTAACTCTAACAAAACTTAAGAAAGAGTTTAATATAATTTATAGTGAACAGGGGTCCAATAAAAGAAACACTGAAAGCCGAATTGTTGCCTTTTCGGAAGACTATCTTTTGGAATGTGATGGTAATTTGCCTGCCAATTATTGTTCGAATTTTAATTTTTTTAATTTGCAGAAAATGAAGATGAATATGTCTGTTCTCTAGAAGAAATTCTTACATTTTATACTTGTGGTTTGGAATTATTCTTACCAACTATACATATTGCATACGATAAATTTAAGTACAAAATGACGTACGGTATTATGTCCTCTTAATTAGAAATGCCTAAACAAATTAGCGATATCTGAAATGAATAAAAGATATCTGAAATATAATAATTTTAGATATTTCTAATTCTATTTCAGATATCTCTAATTAAAGGCACATATTGGAAATGTTTGACTAAAAAATAAAACGGCCCATAAACTGCTTTTATATATATTTTTTTTAAATTTATTAAATGTTAAGGTTTTTAAACTTTAGGATTACGTATTATTTTATATACTTTTTTATATTTTTGTTTTATATTTTTGTTTTATTTATGTAGTTAAAATAGATAGATATATATTAGGGTGTTTCAAAAAAACCTTTTTTTTGTTTTTTTGTCTCGGAACCACGCTTAAAAGTTTCGTATAGATATAAAAATGAGCCTGTGAAAAAATGAGCCCTTAAATTCAAAATTAAGATGCTCCGCATCGCACTTTTCGATTTTTCATAAGAATAACATAGGAAAAATTATTTTTGTTTATTTTTATTTTTGTAACTAACGAACAATAAGTCGTACTATAAAGTTCTTGACATATTTTTTTAGAGAATTGAATGCTCTACAAAAAAGGTTTTTTATGATTTTTAGATAAATTTGATCCTTCTAAACAAATTTAAGGTCAAAGTTCAAATTATACCCGACTCATTTAAAAAAAATTGAAATATTTTTGTAGAGAATTGAACGCTCTACAAAAAAGGTCTAGAGTCATTTTTCGGTAAGTAAACTTGGTTAAAAGTTATTAAAGGTTAAAGTGAAATTAACCGTCAATTTAGTCGTTTTCTCGGATTTTTTCTGGATTTTTTAGTTCAAAGTGCTAAAAACGAATCGAAATATTGTTTTTGAGCTCTGGAAGTTCGGAAAAACAGCGTTCAATTCTCTACAAAAATATTTAAAAAAAATTTAAATGAGTCGGGCAGACTCGCCAAATAAGTTTAAAAAACCCAAAAATTTTGTATAATTTGAACTTTGACCTTAAATTTCTTTAGAAGGATCAAATTTATCAAAAAATCATAAGAAACCTTTTTTGTAGAGCGTTCAATTCTCTACAAAAATATGTCAAGAACTTTATAGTACGACTTATTGTTCGTTAGTTACAAAAATAAAAATAAACAAAAATAATTTTTCCTATGTTATTCTTATGGAAAATCGAAAAGTGCGATGCGGAACATCTTAATTTTGAAATTAAGAGCTCATTTTTTCACAGGCTCATTTTTATATCTATACGAAACTTTTGAGCGTGGTTCCGAGAAAAAAAAACAAAAAAAAAGGTTTTTTTGAAACACCCTAATATATAAAAATTAACATTACTAAATTTTAATAAAAAGTTTATTGTTTCCTTATAAGCTACTAACTATATTTTTAACTGTTTGATAAAAATTAATTCCATTATTATGATCATCTGCTAGACATCAGGGACTGCATTTCGTATCTGGAGACAAAATTAATTCATATGGTGGAACTACAACGTTATTCTTGGTTTCTATTTGAGGAATGGGTCCACAGTCATCTATTCCATAGCCATTAGGTCTTCTACATAAGTTGGGCCGATATATTATTTTTTAATATTGCACATTGATGTACTGTTACATACCTATAACATGACATAAGTAATTGCAACAAACATCTAATGTAAATGTACCAAGAATGTAACTAAAGGTAATTTTAAGTATATTACTTGTCATGTAAATAACGGTACCAACAATATAAAAATAAATAAATAAAATAAAAGGCTTAAATAGAGTGAAATTATAATTTATTTAAGTAATATTAGTGAAAAAACTTTAAAAACAATTGAAATTTCATTTATTTATATCTAGTATTATTGATGGTGATAATAAAAAATATCAATGTAATGTCCATTTTTTCATTTATCAAGTTGGAAGCCATTCATTTTAGGTTATCTCATGTTCTATTTCCCGCCAAAGAACACATTTTTTTATACTAGCGTTTATCTCTAATGCTAGCGTGGTTTGTTCTGTAAGTAGTTTACTGTGTCTATGCTGTGACCGTTTTTACTTATTCTTTTATTTTTGTATCGGTGATTTTGGGAGACCCTGTATATATGAAATTGAGTTGATGGGTTTTTCTTCACTGATAAAAATGGTTTTAGTGGCAAGGGGTGTACTAAAGTTCATAAAAAAGTCAGTCATCTGTATGCCTGGCAGGTGAAACACTGAAAAATAATGTTCAGTTTTTCACCTGCCAGACGCATTTGCCATGCTTACAGATTGGACAGACCTTTCTTTTTGATAAGCTTTAGTAAACCTCTTGCCACTAAAACCATTTTTATCAGTAGCAAAAAATGCGCTCCCCACTTGTATTTTCTGACGTATTTTCCGCCTCAACCCATCGGAAAACGCACTCATTTCATTTATAGATTTGCTTAGAAACACTAATTGAACAATTCCATTGAAGTTTGCTGACTGCAAAAATTAGTACCAAAAAAGTTCACTGCCTCCAAGATTTTTAAGTTGTAAGTTTATTTTGTTTTTTAATATTAATTAATTTATTTAATATATAATATTTAAGTACCTGAATATAATGTTGATTTTATTTTATTAGTTTAGTGTTACTATCTCTACCACCAACCATATTAATAAGTCTAATTTTTTAATATAACATTTGTTGTTTTTAATGCACAATTTTTTGCTCACTTTTTTGGCTCAATTTTTGGCTTACTTATTTTTTAAAACCTATATCAAGAACTGAATAAAATAAAAAAGTAGACTTATAGTCTGGCTCTGGGGTACATAATAGGAATAATTTCCTAATTTTAACCAAAAGTTAAATATTTTCCCATAAATGGGAATATATATTTTGTATCTAAATTTGATGTTTTTGTACAGTGTGTATACATTTTTTTTACCTGAATATATTAATTTATTATAAGTAGTTTTTTTTTAATTTCTCTTAAAACTTACATATTAAGCTAATTACTTTGTGTTTTTGTTTATCTTTTTTATGCATTTGTTTATTATGTAACAAAACTTATCTAAAAATTTAAGTTTTTCTACTTTTGATAAAACAATATATTTTGCTATAGCCTTTGTATATCAATAGGTTACATTCATGGAACATTACATCTAAACATACTATATTTGTTAATAAAATATGTATATAAGAGGTAACTTAGGCACACAGCATGCATGTTTTAAAGTTACTTTAATTGATGTTTCAAACCAACGTTTTCAGTACGTAACAAAGTAACATCTCGAAAAAATTGTCCAATGTAAACATGTTGCGGAAATTCGGGGGTTGTCTCAATAGCCATGCGATATTGTAATAAACTACCCATTTCATTTGATAGCTTATTTCCTTTGATAAATGTGTTAGTTATCAAATACTTTTAATTCCTAGTACTACATTATAATATTAAAATACATTTTGTGTTGAGCGACGTATTTTGAGCAAACATGCCTTTTTGCTGAGTATAAATAGAAATAAGTTATGATACAATTAAATATTTCCATATTCTATTTCATTGTTCTTAAGCATAAATAATTGTTGACAAAATACTAAAACTGTTTTTCAGTAAGCAACAAATCTTCGTTTGAAATTACTTTAAGTTAGTCTAAGTTAACCCTTCATCTACAACTGTAAATTTACAGGACTTAAATATAGCCACATTTTAACTTTTTCACGAGACTTTAAGTAACCCTATCAAGTTTCAGGACTCTAGAAACTCCAAGAAAGGTAGGTTACTACCTTTTCTGCGGTGCAGATTCTACAACTCGCGAGTGTTGTACGAACCATCTCGTGAAAGTGCAAGTGTTTGTCCGTAAATTGAACTGTTAGAAAAAAAAGAGTTTAGTTAGCTCCAGTTCCAGAAAATCCGAAATTTAGAAGTCAGAAAATCCGAAATTTAGAAGTCAGAAAATCCGAAATTTAGAAGTCAGAAAATCCGAAATTTGGAAGCCAGAAAATCCGAAATTTAGAAGTCAGAAAATCCGAAATTTAGAAGTCAGACAATCCGAAATTCAGAAGTCAGAAAATCCGAAATCTAGAAGCCAGAAAATCCGAAATTCCGAAGTCAGAAAATCCGAAATTCAGAAAACCAAGATTATAGAAGTCCAAGTTATAGAAAATGCAAGTTCCCGTTTAGTCAGCGTTCCAGAATTGAGAAAATAGAAGACAGCAAGTATTCATCCTCCAGTCAACTATTCTGTCCACATCTAAAAGTGTAAAGTTCGAAAAGTGAAAAGTAATTAGTGTTTTGTGAATCTGTTTAAAAAATAGGATACACACTATGAAATTTATGTAAGTACCTTTTGTTTGTTTTGTTAACTGCATTAAAAACTTGAACAAAATCTTATAATAAAGTTTATTAAATCAAAATGCCAAACGATAATGAAGAACAGGCAGTAGGACAGGCAGTAGGAAATACGATTTCCTATATTTCTTTAGACACCGCAGTTAGATTATTAAAAGAGTACAATGGCGAAACCAAATCCGATAAAGCCCATGATTTTATCGATTCTTGCGATATGGTTTTTAGTTCAGTCAATCCAGACAATCATGAAATTTTGTTTAATATTATAAAAACTAAATTAACAGGCAAAGCGCGTTCCTTAACCATGTATAAAAATTTTTTTGTTTTCAGAAAAACGCTCTATTTCTTTCTGGCAGTTAGAATTAAATAGTTGTAAACAAAGTAGACAAGAAGATGTAGCATCTTTTGCAAATAAAATAGAAAGAATTTTGTCAAATTTATGCGATGCTTCTACGGTAGGTAAAACCACCGAAATCGCAGCTGAAATTTGTACGTTATTGCGAAATCTAGCCATGAACGTTTTTATTCAGGGTCTAAACGATACAATTAAAATGCAAGTTAAAGCGAGAAATCCAAAATCTTTAGAAGACGCAATTGAGTTAGCTAGGTCGGAAGAAAGAGAATTATTAAGTAATAATACAAATTATCGAAAGTTTATGCCGTTTAGTCCAAAACCTCAAGTAAAATGTCACAATTGTCAAAAAATTGGGCATACTGCACCTCAATGTTATCTTAAGAGA